CCCAGGCGCTCGGGGCGATCCCCGCACGGAGCTGCCTATCGCGGGGCGCCAGGCGGGCGCTGCCCGGGGAGAGCCGGAGATCGGTGACAGCCTGAATGAAATGTCAGGCTGTCAAAATCCTATCAGTGGTTTGCAGCTGGGGCCCAGGGAATGCTTCGGCAGCGAACAAAGGAAGCGGCTGGCACCGGTCCTGGGTGACATTGACTTGTTTTTTCAAACGGCAGTGTCTCTTACATTAAATAAAAACAAACCTCTGGTTTTGTTTTATAATCGCTTATGCCAGTGTTTAAGTGGCAGGTGGTTCAGATTAGATCTCAATAACAGTTTAGGTTGGGATGGGGTTAGTGTTGCTGTTATGTCTGTGTTGTATAAACATCCAGGAGAAAGGCACCGTGTGTCCGAAAGCAACGAGTGCACTGGGTGAACGGAGCAGGGCAGAGTAGTTTTGCTCTTGGGCTACAGCTGAAATGAGGTGGTTTGGTGCGACTGTATTAGTTGTCTGGGCATTGTGTTTGGGTGTGTGAAAAGCCTGGTTTTTCCCCTTCTGTTTTAATAGAATTTAGGCCTCGTCTGAATTCCAGCAAGAAGGGTCTTCCTCTAGCGTCAACACTTTTTGGGCTCCTTGGAAATGGTGGTGACTTCCATGGTTGCTGATGCATGTATTTTTCCCCCCTCTTCTCACACCTTCCCTCCCTATTTTTACAAGGACAAGTAACACTGTTGGTTAATGCTTATCTGTGCAGGGAAGCTAGTGACTACTTTCAGTATTTCACCACTTCCTGAGTCTGCTTCTATATACTGTTTCCTTTGCTTCAGGAAGCCATTGTATGTGCTCCATGTGCAACCTGCTCCTCCCGTGTGCCTTTTGTACATAATCATAATAGCCAGGGATCCACGAGGGGGTTTTCTCTCTGTTTCTGAAGAAACTGAGGAAAAAATCATATATTTAGTATAAAAATGGGCACGCCTGTGGCTGGAGTTGTGATCCTTAGCGGTAGCAGTATGAGCATTCAGAAGTAATTTGCAGTTGCAGGTGACCACGCGTGTTTCACTTGAAGCAGTGCTTGCTATGAGACCAGTCAGTGCTGAAAACTCTGAGACTCCTAAATTTGTGTGTTTTACCAGTTTGTGAGCTGGTTTAGGGAGTTTGGAGGGGTTTTATTAAGTGGGGTTTTAGTTTTGGTTTATCGTTGTGGTGGTTTTGGGTTTTTCTGTTCATGTGACAATGAAAGAGCTCCTGTCTGTGGGCTGTGGGACAGTGTGTCATGGACAGTGAAATACTTTATCTTCAGAATTTTTTTGCTATGGAGTGCTTAGCTGTTTCAGGAGGTTGGGTGAACAGCTTTCTGGTGTGTTACAGGTATACTGAAACAGGTATGGTTGAGCTTCTTGTTGCTGTGTGTATGGAATCTCCCTAAAAGCTGTACTGGGGCACAGAGAGGCCAAGTGAAGGATCACAGTACATGACATGGTATTTTTTTCCCTAGGAACTCTTTTAGCTGACTCTTATTAGCAATACATTTAAGAGGGATGGACCAAGCAGCATTAAGATCCTGAAAGAGTCAGAGTTTCCAATTCTCCTAGTTTGTGTTCAGTCCCAGAAAATTAAAATCTGCACTTTTGGTGTTAAAAATGAGATGAGTGTTGCCTCCTGCTTCCCAACACATGTATTCCACACATACTCTAAGCATCAGGGAAGATGGTGCTCCATTTGGCATGGCCTTTGTCAGTGTCCTTCCATTCCAGATATGTTTAATAGTTCCAGGACTCTGCCATTCTGTGTTGGGATGTGATCACCAGCATATAGATCCTGAAATGCATTTCTGCCAGGAGGAGCTGTAGATTTGTGTGCCTGATCACATTCTGTTCTTCACAATTCTCAGTCCTCTTTTGCTATTCAGTGCTAAATAATATTTGCTCTCCTGGTCAGGTGAAATAAACTTACTTCATAATCGATTTACTTCATGCCAAGCCCTGGGCACACTTAAGTGGTGCTATGTGCTCTTTTATTTCAGCAAAGCCCAAACTGCCATAAAATTAAGTGTAATGATTTTTCTCTTCATACCATACAGGCAGCTGAAGAAGTTAGATGAAGACAGTTTAACCAAACAACCTGAAGAAGTATTTGATGTCCTGGAGAAGCTTGGAGAAGGGTATGTTACGTGTTCTGTTCCTTTGGGCCCAGTGCAGATTTCTCTAAGAACAAATCTGTGTAACAGTTACGTGTTCAGTGGTCTCTGATGTTCTACCTTTGTCATGATCCTATTTCTGCATAGTGACAGTGTTTGGTCAATAAGAGAATGAAAATTTATTTCCCAAGAGTGTGATATCTTTATCCAAACAGTGGCTTACAGTTCAGCAGCAGGGAGTTAAAACATTGTTGAAAAATGCCAGCCTGGGGTTGATAGAGCTCTGTGGGAATTCGAGAGGTTTTGTCGTTCATCCCTGGTACATCCTGTGGAAAATCTGCCTGGTGGAAGTGAACTTCAGTGGCATTGTGCCACTTGGTGAGGCAGAGCAGCATGGGAACACTCTGTAAGTGATGTGTTTGCTGCCTTAAGCAGTTCATTTGAAAAGCCTGAGTTGTAAATCTGCCTGGCTGCTGCAAGGAAAAAAGCTAGAAATGAGAGTGATAATATCTGACAAGAACAAGCAAACCTCTCTGACCAGAGCTGTAGTTCTTACTGATGCTCAGCTTGTACTGTGTGCTGGAAAAAGAGAACTGGGTTTGTTGGATTTGTGTAAAGGCTACAGCAGTGATATGATGGTTGGCTCTTTTCTGGCTCTCTCAGTCTGCTCTGACTTACTACACTGTTTAGAATCTAGTGGACTGATTATTTACATAGAAATACAAAATACTTTTAGCAGACAGAGTTAATATTTTACCTGACGGTTACACTTGCAAAAAGCAAAGCCATAACATTTGCATTTTTAAACTCTTACTGTATTCAGTGTTTAATATTTTGTTTCCTAGCTCCTATGGCAGTGTGTTCAAAGCCATTCATAAAGAAACAGGTCAAGTTGTTGCAATTAAGCAAGTTCCTGTGGAATCTGACCTGCAAGAGATTATAAAGGAAATATCCATAATGCAGCAATGTGACAGGTAAGTGTCTGCAGCAAAACCCATCGTTGGGATGCAAGGAAAAGTATCACCTATGATCTGGCATTTAATCAAATAAAAGCCATGATGTTGCTTTAAATGTCTTTTACAAGGCTGGACTTGTACAATCAAGTTACCTCATATCAACTGAGTCATGTTAACTGACCATTTGGGTAGTGCAAAGGTAAGACAACAAAGATTTAGCTTGCAACAAGAGAGCACTAAGCTGAGTCAAATAACCTGCACTTGCTGCCAGCCAAGAGCCAAACGTGTGAGCAGCTGCTGTGGTTCTCCCTGTGCACCGTCGCTTGTTGAACAGTGGTAACTTGATTGTGTGCTGAGCAGCAGTTCCCATGTCCACAGGGGTGTGATGGCTTCTAAACAAGACATAAAAAACTGTTGGAAGAAGGTTTTTGGTTTGTTTTTGAGAGGCACGTGGATGAGAGCCGCTAATGCATGACTGCTCTTGCATGTGCACAACCTATGTGCTGTGTTCTGCTTGGGGGGCAGAACTGTCCTTCCTGGCTGTTTTCTGTCTGTGCAGCTCCAGTGCAGTACAAGCTGTCTGCTGAGCTGAGCATCCCCAGAATAACTTGCTGGCAGCTCCTCAGGCTGATGGTTGGCTCTCTGGGTTGTCTTTGCATGTTTTTATGAGAAAAGATGCTGCAATGACTTAGCTAATGAAGAGATGTGCCCTGGGAAGATCCTTTCAAACTGTGTCCTAGGCTGAAGGTTTAAAATACACTAATTTCTCCTGGTGTTATGAATTTGGCCTTAAGAAACACTACTTTGAAGGACTTCAGGCATGGAGAGCTGTTTGAAGTAAATTACATGAGCAATACAGGGCTATAGCCCCAGTCACTTACTTGATTGCCCTCCACTCTCTCTATCTTTAAATGAAGGTGACTGGGGCAGGCAACAAAGTGTAACTTGAAAAGAAATTGTTCATGAAAAATCTTACTGTGTAGCTTGGAAAGCATTATTAGGTGTCTCTCAAATTATTTATACTGTAAGGCCTAAAGAGACCTTGCAGTTGTGAACAGCAGAGGGAGTGGATCACTGGAGCATCACATTTTCTGTGCAAGCATTAAGGGACACTGCAGCGTGACTGACTTGCTAGTTTTATAGTTTTTCATTAGAAAGTATTCTGCAGAGAATAGATTGGACACACTTTTGTTCCTTAGCTCCATTCCCATAAAATCAGAAAGAGTTTCTGTTAGTTTCTGCATTACTGTTTCCAGAGGACAGATGGTTTTGCTGACCAATATAAAAGGTTGTTTGCTTTTTGGGCAGCCAGATATCTGACTGTGACAGTCTTAGGTTGTACTGGATTCCTAAAATACATCCCAGACTAAACTGTAGAAACAAGTAGATGTATGTGGTAGTGGGGGAACATTCCTCTTAATGAAGATTATAGCTATTTTCCAGCAAACTGTAGACATTATTTTATATTTCCATTTGGTTGCAAATGCTCTGCAGCAGCTTTCCCAGGGACTGCTGTGGCCTGTTTCCAATTCCCTTGTCCTGCCTTCTCTTGCTTGCCACAGCACTGACCCTATTGTGAGCCAGTTCAGGGAACTAAACCAGGCTGGAGGCTAATCGCTCCTTACTTCCGTAGGATTTGTTGTCAGACAGTTTAGCTCCCTGAAGTGACTTACTGGCAGGTCATATGAGCCCCTCTGTGGGAACAGGCTTGGCAGGACTGTACTGTGCAAGTTCAGGGTGTTTGGGAATACTTTGGATCAGAGTTTTTCAGTGGCACTTTAACACTGGATTTCTAAAACGTACTCAGGGACTCTGCAATATATTGTGCTTAGTCAGTGGTGTTGGTTATTGGCATTTTACCCTTTATTTTCTTCTTCTTTCTTCACATTTCATAGTCCTCATGTGGTGAAATATTACGGCAGCTATTTTAAGAACACAGACCTGTGGATAGTCATGGAATACTGCGGCGCTGGATCCGTGTCTGACATTATTCGATTGCGGAATAAAACTGTATGTCCCTTCTCCTTTGAATGTATGGAAGGGAAGTCTAGATGAGTGTCTAGCTCAAGGAAACAGAGTGATTTGGGCATAAATCTCAATGTTCAGTGCCTGACAGCCATTGGCCATAACTTGAGACAAAGGTCCTTTGTTCCTCTGAAAGTGAGAAAGCTGAGTATGTTGAGTTTTGGTTATGTGGATAATGTAGTTGGTGGAGCAGATTTTGGTGCGTTGGCTTTCCTGAAAACATGGATTCCAAATAAGACTCTACTAGGATAAGAATTACTAGTTGAGATAGGCTTATGGTATGTGAAATATAGTCCAAATGCATCTGTATCTGATCTAATTCTGCTGCATAATGCTCTAAGTCACTAATTCCCCATTAGCATGGCAGTCTTTAGTGAAGGCAATTAAATGGCAATTAGTGAATCACAGCAAAATTTACACTGAGGCACAATAGTGCTGAGTCTCAGCAACTGATAGGTTGGCATTAACTCTTCTTTTCTTCAGCTCACAGAGGAGGAAATTGCTACAATAGTGCAATCAACACTGAAAGGACTCGAGTACCTGCATTTTATGAGGAAAATACACAGGGATATCAAAGCTGGAAATATATTGCTAAATACAGAGGGGCATGCTAAGCTTGCTGATTTTGGAGTGGCAGGACAACTTACCGTAAGTAAAACCAGGATGGTTGTATGCATTTCAGTTTACCTTTTTAACCCGTGTGTGAGTATGATGTGCTTGTGGAGATGTGGAGAAATTGTTCATAGCTGCTTTTTAGCACTTCACATCAGCATAATGAGGTTGTAAACTAGTGACAGATTAGAGCAGAGCTTCCTCCATGGAAGCTGTTATACCTAAGTAATGGTTTGCAATAGCATTTGCAGTTTTCTTCAGGATATTTTTAACTTCTGTGAGCACATTTCAATTCCTCTTTGCAGCCCTCTCTACCCCAGTCTTGCTGAGTCTAATAATGTGCCTGCCTGCAAGATAATTAGGGCGATAATTCATTAGTGAATGTTTGTGGCTAATAGAGTTGCTGTTGTGTACATCTTTATCCTGTTTTTCTTCTCAGGACACCATGGCAAAGCGGAACACAGTTATAGGGACCCCATTTTGGATGGCTCCAGAAGTGATCCAGGAGATTGGGTATAACTGTGTTGCAGACATCTGGTCTCTGGGAATCACTGCGATAGAAATGGCTGAAGGGAAGCCACCATATGCAGATATTCATCCCATGAGGGTAAGGACTGTGGCCTTTGTGAGTGTATTGCTGTATGGAAAAGGTTTACTTTATAACTGGCTAATTGGCATATCAGCATGCCATCTTGCTTTTAATTTAGAACAAATGATTTGTTTTCTGTCAGTTCTTTGGTTAAATGAAAAACAGATCTTTGAGAAGGAGAATCTGCATGGGAAAAAAAATTCACCTAGTTCTCTTCTGTTAAGACATAGCTGAAGTTCCCTCTGTTGGGTGTGAAGAAACATATTTTGAGCTGGATTATCCGAAGTGGATTGATTTTTAATGCAAGCACAAATTTTTAAGGCTTAAAAAGGGCAGATTCACACTTTTTTTGGGCACATAATGGCTCAGCCACGTGTAAGCCCCTCGTGAGAAATGTCTGGTTTCTTGGTAGCAAAATCCCTCTGAGCAAATTTGTGTGTAATGTTGGCACAAACTCCTCAAAGGCAGCAAACTTGCAATGTCTGTCATTGTTTAGTACCAGTGTAATTTTGGGGTGTATTTATGTTGCTTTCTTGGAAAGTTTTAAACTTTGTTTGAAAATCTGGGATATTCTTCTGCTTTCAGGCAATTTTCATGATTCCTACCAATCCACCTCCCACATTCCGGAAACCAGAGCTGTGGTCAGACAGTTTCACTGACTTTGTGAAGCAGTGTCTCGTGAAGAGCCCGGAGCAGCGTGCCACTGCCACCCAACTTCTGCAGGTCTGCCTTTTCTTACAGCAACATGAGCTCTAGAGCAGCCTTGCTAGGGCAGGCAGTGCTCTGTGGCTGTTGGGCCCTTGGTTTCATTTCTTGCTGCTCCTGCTCACTACAGGTTTTACTTTTTAACATCTCATTTTAAAAATCTTCCACTCAACTTCAACTTTTCAGTTCTTCTCTAAGAACCAGACTAACTTCAACTTCCTATCTTTGTCTTCTCTGGGTTGTTTTTGTTGGTTTGACTTTTGTTTTTGTTTTGGTTTTTACTTTCAAATTCTCACCGGCAGTGCCGAGAAACTGCCACTTAGAACACTCCAAAGGGGAGGCTAAATGAATGTGGTTGCTCAGAGTGTTATAAGCATGGTAATGGTCTCTGTAATTGCTTCTTGACAGCTAAGCTGCTAAGGAAAGAAGTAGAGTTGTGGGAGGGGAATGAACCCAGAGTCTCACAGCAGTAGTGCCCTTGGAGCATGATGTTGTTTGGAGGGTGTAAGGCCTCCCTCCTGTGCCAACAGAAGTGCTGGATGTTCATTTTAGAAATGTTTCAAGTTAAACCTGAAGTTGATTGGAAGCAGTCCATAGTCACAACATTTTACTGTTCTATCTTGCTTCGGATGCAGTGCTTATTTGTTTTTAAAATTCTTCTCAGCATCCGTTTGTTAAAAGTGCCAAAGGAGTATCAATTCTGCGAGACTTGATTAACGAAGCGATGGACATCAAGCTGAAACGTCAAGAGGCACAGCAGCGTGAACTAGATCAAGAGGATGAAGAAAATTCAGTGAGTATTTAATAGCAACAATGTACAAAGTCCAGACTGGCTCCTTTCAGAAGGCTTAGCCGCTTTGTTTTTCATTCTTGCAATATTTCGTCCAATTACCAATGGATTTGGCTTAGTTCTTGAGTTTTCTACTTTATGACTGTTTAACCCAGTGCTTGGTCCCTGCTCAATTTATATTTGAGTGGGATGGGCAGCACATGTGGCTTACTGTTAGTTTATAGTGTAGCTTGAGACCTGTGATTGAATAGGTCTACAAAGCACTGTATGCAAAAGACTTGATGTTTTCCCAGTTGGATTGTATTATTTATGCAGTAATGAGAATCTTTCGTTGTAAATTTAGCTCTTACTCTTCTCTCCTAGTATAAAATAATATAATCTGTGGTGCACTATAATATAAGTATGTTGTGTTATTTTACTATTGTGCTTTAGAACCCCCCTAATAGAAACTTTCTGCTACACAAGAGCAACCGACAGAAACCTGAGGTGAGGGCATGGGAAGTGTCCAGGGGATTGCTGTGAATTTTGGTTTGGCTCCTTGTTTCAGTGGTTACAGCATGTGAATTTGGAAAGCATGTTGAAAACTGTTTTCTGAGCCTCTGCCTGCTTCAACCTGAATAAATGAACTGGGCAACACAAGGCATTGTGTGGCAGCCCAGTTCAGGGGTTAGGCTTGAACAGCATGGTCCACAATATCTGTGCTGAACACATCGTTGGTTTTCCAGTCTAGGACTGCATATTTACTCCGTGTGGAAGTAACTTTATTGGTCATGTTGCCATGATGTTGACTCTACAAGTATTGTCCCTACCTTGAGTATTGTCCCTACCCTCTCTTCATTTCTGACTGATCTGGATCACGTTGCTGAGAGATGGTGTCTGTGTAGTGAAGTTGAGTCGTCTCTGTCAGTATGTGTTTTCCCAAAGCTTCTCTACTCTGTGTTTGCCAGCAGAAAAGTATTCCCAAGCACTTCCCAAGTGCTGTGAAAACTTCTGCTATAGTCCCTCATTAAATGATGTGTAGCTAACAGATTTATTACTTCCTCTCACCCACTCATCTCCACATAAAATTACTTTTCCTCCATTAACATCCTGTGTAGTTTTCTTCCCTCTTGATACTGGTTTTGAGGTTGGGAAGTAAATTTTACAGACACTCTTAGTACAACAGATAAAATGCTAGGAACAGCAGAACATGGAGGGCTGTACTGCTTTCTTTCTGTGACACTGAGATGGAGTATTACAGTTGGATGTGGAATACCTGTGTTTTACAGATGAGTAAGGCCATGGTCACACATAAAGTATGTGAACTTCATCCTTAGAACAAAACATGAGCATCTCATCTAAGGTGGGATGACTGAAGACTCTGCTGTAAACCACAAAGTGACTTCTGTTCGTGTAGTTGGATTGCTGGCTCATATATCCAAGAAACTTAATAGATTGTGGAAATTTTGTCCCTGTTCCTCATTAAATCCAAGTCACAATATATACTTAGTGAAGCACACACCACCTGATGAGCCTACTGCCTCTGGCTAACATAACTCTCTGCCAGGAAGTTGTTCTACCAGAACTTGTTTCAGGAGCTTGTGATTTTCTGCAGTCAGTCTCTTAAGCCTTGACAGCAATCAGTCCAACTTCCATAATGTTAGTACCTGTTACAAGTGGAAAGATAAGAAATAATTTTGGTTGAAAAACATACTAGACCCTGATAATTTATTTCATTCCTTTTTAAATATTTTTAAATGCAGTTCATTTTTCATCAGTGCTTCAGAAGTTTATAGCAATTAAAGCTACTTAAATGTTAAAGATAGTAAAAAAGCAGGATGAGGGTTTTTTCATGTGCCACATACTCTCCAGACTTAGACCTGTTGCTGTCCAATAACTAATGACTCTACAGTGACCTGTCCCACTTGAGACAGTGTTTTAAGGTCAGCTCTTAACTGTCAGCACGAATAGAAACACTAATGACTGAATGAGTGTTGTAATCTACTCTTCCAGACACGTCACCAAGTCAGAAATTAAATACAACTTGCACTGAGAAGCTTCTGCTGATTAATTTATCTGTTCTCTTATTTATCACACTGGCAGAAAAGTATGAAGACTCGTCATTACATTTTTGGAGATGACAGGGAGAGAACTAAGTGTATAAACCAAACTGTCACTTCTGTGTGTATTTGTAAAAACCTCCGAATTAGTGTGACTTGCCAGTGTCCTTGAGTACAGACATTCTTCATGGGACTTCATAAACATCAGTAAAATACATATTTATGGCATCTTTGTACAGGAGGAAGATGAAACTGATTCGGGTACCATGGTGAGGGCAAGTGGAGATGAAACTGGTACCATAAGAGCTGTCAACACAATGAGTGATGGAGCCAACACTATGATAGAGCATGATGGCACCTTGGAGTCCCAGCTGGGTACAATGGTCATAAACACAGAAGAGGAGGAGGAGGAGGGCACCATGAAAAGTAAGGAAACATCTTTGACTTCTGGAATGTTACTTAACGCTTCATGTGGGCTATGATATGTATTCCCAATGTGCTTTGATAGTTTTTGTAGTTTATTGTGTCTTTTAGTTGTAGGGAGCTAAAACTCTCAAGTCAGTGCCTTCTGGCATCAGAGAAACCTTTCAGGGTCCATGCTTCAAGCCATTCTTTGTAGTGTTGCACTTGGTATAGCTGATGAGTTGTGCACAATTTTCACAAGCTTCTGTGCTGATTGAATAAGATCTGATTCTAGCTAGTTTGTTTTTTCTGTGCTGATTGAATAAGATCTGATTCTAGCTAGTTGTTTTTTTTGTTTGTTTGTTCTTTTTTACTTGTTTTGTATTTTTCACAGAATGTAGGGAGGAGACCTCTAGCACAGGGTTAATCAGAAAACCTGTGTTGCTTTAGTAGATGGTCTGGCTGTAAGTTGGCATCTGAAAACAGCACGTCTGTTCCAGGATTGATGCATCCAGGGAAGAGCTTGGTTTATGAAATGACAAATATCTTGCAGGTTTCAAATGCAGCAGGACACGCAGTGGGAGGAGTTGGCATCTTCCTAGACTGGTGTGTTTCTTTAGTGCTCCTGTAATCACTGAGGACAGCTGAATGAGCTGTGTGTTGCTGTTTGAGGTCTTCAAGTTGAAATCCATTCTGCCCTTAAATAGAAAAGCTTACTAAAACTGCAAGCCTCGTCATAGGATGTAAGATTTAAAATGATGTGACTTTGATCCCTGATAGTCTATGGAAGACCTTACAGCTTGAGCTGGGAAAGGGTTGAAAATGTTTCTTTGATTAAAGAAATGCCAGGGAGAGACTTTCTGTATGAAAAGTATGACTAGAAGATAAAGAATCTCTTCTCGGTTATGGATTCTCATAGGAATCCATTCTTGCTGGTTGGGTAACCTCAACAGTCCTGAGGTAGTCAGGGATGACTCAGCTGGCCAGCATGGAAGTTTGTGGAAAGTGCTGAGTGGGAGCTCAGCAGCACTAAAATATGACCATCACAGGCAGCACATGTTCTTTAGGCTCTTGCACTGCTTCCAAAGATGTCCTTGGCCATCTGATTTTTGAACCTTTAGCTACAGTGATAGAGGAAAAAATTCTCATCAGGAGGTTGGAAAAATCCTTTCCTCAGGAATTTCTGTGTTGAAAGCTTCTTCCCTGTGGGGACCCTCTGGAGCTTGTGGAAAGATACTAGTTTTGAGAGTGATATTTCAGCACTAATCCCTTTAAAGAATTTTCCAGGCTTTGGCAAACACTGGTTCTGCACATTAAAACCCAGAGGTGTCAGCCCATGTTGGAACTTGTGGCAACAAAGATGATGGGGTAATGCCATCAGGTGTTGTGGAACAAGGTCGGTCTAGCCAGGAGCTGAATGGATGCTTAGAGTAACTAATATGTCATCCAGAGTGGGACATTTCAGCAGCATTAAATAAACCTGGTAAAGCTGCTGTTTCTTTACAAAAAGACAGCACTGTTAGTTTCTTATCACCAGTGTGCATTGTTCTCTTTTATGGTTCACAATATCAGAGGTTTTGCTGTCTGCTGCTCCTGCACCGGCTGCCAAGAGTGTGTAAGTAAAGCACCTCTTGAGTTTATCTTCCTATGTTTGACATGTGCTTATCTTCTCGCCGTGGTTTTAAGATTGCAGCGCTTGTAACTCAAAAGCACCTAACGCTGACTATGAAGTAGTGTGCAGAGCTTTGAGGAGATGCCTTTGATAGTATCTTTTGCAAGGGCATGCTGTCGTTCTGAGCAGAATCAGCTATGAGAATGTAGCAAAGCCTTTACTAGGGGGTCGTCTCTAACCTCAAGAGGGAGCTCCTCAACAAGCTCCAAAAGCTCCAGATCTCCGTGACTGGAAAGTCGAGTTTTTATTTTAAACCTTCCTTAGACTTCAGGTTTCTTAAAAACACTCTGTTCTTAGCTGCTGCTGTGACAGTGTTCACAGCTGGGCGTGTGGCAGGAGTGCTTGAGCAGGAATCATTCAGAGATCCTGGGGACAGGTGATGCCTGACACAGGGACCAATTCCGTGTCCATGGGCTTCACTCAGTAGTGTCTTATGCACCCTCTGCCCTCAGCACTCTCTGCTGCAGTTTAATAACTTGTAGCTTGATTCCAGGAAATCTGATGTTAATGAAAATGATAACTTTTCCTTAACACCTTATTCTCCTCCTTCCCTGGCAACATGACTGTGAAATGCTGCTGCACAGAGCAGCTCCGTGTTTGTCTCTGGGATGTGCTGCAAGGCAGTGCCTCTGAGCAGCTTGCCCTTCATGAGAATTGCCTGCAGCTCCATTTTTCAGCTTGCCATTTCCATATTCATGACATTCAGTTAAATGGATTTAGCCATAAGCTCATCAGCCTGCTGCAGAACTCTCTGGAGCAAGTTCTTTTCGTAATCTTAAATAGAAATGTAATAATGCTGTTTGGAAACCACGGAGTTTGAAGAGGCTTCATTGATTCATATTTTTAAAGACATCTATATTTTTTGGCAGCTTGTGTTATGACTCACAATAGATACTATTTTAAGTCAATAAAGAACTTCTTATTCTTTTTTTGCATGGCATTAGTAGGAGAATTTAGCTTCCCTAGGTGTCTTGGGATTTTTAACTGCAGGTTTCTTAGCTTGTGTTCTAGCCCTTCTTTCTAATTAAAAAAATAAATCTATGTCTCAACTGGGTTTTTTTGCTTGGTTGCATTTCTTTTTAGTATAAAAAGTATTTAAAACGTCATGTTTCAATGTTTTATAGACAGGATTGTCTTAGAAATCTCAGCAGACAACTTCCAGTAGCTTTGAAAGTGCGAACAACTTCCAGTAGACCTGAAAGTGTTTCTTGCATAATCAGTTCATGCCTTCTCATGCTCAGAGGAAAAACATTCTTAAAATCCAGTACTTCACATTGTAGGGGAAGTTTTGTTTTGTAGTCAACTGAGCTGTAATTCTGTTTGCTTAAATTCTTTCATTTGCTTGGCTTTATTCTGGGCACTCAATATAAATACTCAGGCAGTGTTAAAAATGTCACTATGACATTCTGTTACACGTTTTGAAAGCACTCAAGTGATTGCCTGAAACCGCAGACACTAAATTGTGCTGCGACACATTTTACTTCTAAATCAATGGATAACAGATTACTTATGGATTGCAGTGAAACTATTCCAGGAAAACTTTCGACGTAGCTGAAGGACTATAGATGAGCAATGATTTGTAATAACAGGCATTTCCATTGTGCTTGAGAGCTGGAGTGACTGTTAATATGTCTGGAATCATCTTTTTTAAATGTTTCTAGGAGAGAATATATACTGCAGCATGTTTTACTCTTACCTTTTGTGCTTTTTCTTCTTTATTTGCTGTAGGTCTCGAGATAGAGGAAACTTGGCATGAGTTTGTCTCTTCAATTTAAAGAGTGGAACATAATTTTCTAATAAAGCAGATAAATGTGTAGCTTTCCTTGGACACTGCAATACGATCAGATCCAAGTGAAATTGGATCTAGTTTGTCTAGTGCTACAGCCTGGCCTATTTTCTGTGTTAAAGTGCCTCTTGCTTGTTTAAGCATCAAATAAAATGGCACTGGAGAGTGTGGAACTGCCAAGCGTGGTGTGAGCTGGGCTGTCTGGTGTTTGGGATGAGATGAGTGAGGGCTCTGGAGGTGCTGGGAGGGCTGCGGCTGTGGAGTTTTTCTTCCTGTGGCACACATTCAGCAGTGTCTGCTGCAGAGGTAGACCAGGAGCTTTAATAATGCTGTTGCCTCTACCTTGATACTGTAATGTGCAGATAAAAATTCTTAATAATTCTGAGTGTTTAAAAAAAAGCATTCCAGGCTTCATTTTAATAACACAGTTAGCAGTGATTTGGGGTTTGTGATGCTTTTACCATGCCCACACTTCTGAGCATGGTTGTGTCCTTTTAAAAAGAGATTTCCCCTTTGAAGGGAAATTAGGTTTCATTAGCAAATTAAATGAGCTAGGATGCAAACTTGGCAGTTTACTATTAGAAGAATGATTCAGAGTAAGCTCGTTGCTCTTGGTGGCTGCATGAGACATTCAGTGGGTGACGCTTAAGCCAGACAAATGTTATGGCCAAGACTCAGGAAATGGTTTTTCCCCATGAATTAACCTGAGATTTTTCATGTGAGGCAATGTCTGTAAAAGCTGTAAGACGAGCAGCAGAACGAGTATGGGTGACAGGAGGTTTATACAATTGCATTAATACTGTAATTGACTAAAATATTACTGGTGTGTGGCTGAGGTAGCTATAGGTGGTGTAATATCATTAGCTGTCCAGAAAAGTGCAGTTGCACATTCTCCAAATCGCTGATGCAGGTACTGTAGAGAACAGCTCCACATCTTGTCAGGATTTACATCACGTGTGCGTCAAAGATATTGGCTGTGTTTTGCCTCTGGTTTTCTCTGGAGACGACAGCACTTCGCAGCAGCTTCCCACTACTTAGTGTTATTAATGTCCAGTGGTGCAGTTCTGTGTTTAAAGTAAATCGGTCCATTTAGGCATAATTGGATCATAAAACACTCTTAGCATTATGCATTTAAATAACATGCTGCTTATAGAAACTCCTACATCGATTACATTGCTCTCGAACTGTAAGAATCATCATACTGCCACTCTTGAGGTGTGGAGGACACAAATCTTCATGGAGAAGTCTTCTAGTCATGTTGCTTTTTGACTTCTAATAGCAACCTTGCTGGCAAACCTGACATAAACAGTAGCCAGCAAGGTTTATTCAAGAGCATTAATGTGTGTGGACATGCAGACAGCATTTCTGAGTGATGGGAGCTGTGTATGCTGTTGGGTTTTGTGGGGTTTTTGCTATGGGTTTTGGTTTCTGTGTGGATAGGGGTAGGCTGCTGGACCTAGTAATTGAAACTGGCTCTGTGCAGACTGAAACATGAAGATCAAGTCCAGGATCTAAGCTGAATGCTTATCTGCCTTTGGCTGTCCTGCATATTTGTCAAAGCTTTAA